GGGGGGATATGTTTTGTGTAAGGTTATCCCATTGTTGGGGATAGATTATAAGTGGTTAACTTGTTGCACTAATTGTGTGCTCTCACGGCTGTGAGTGCGTATGTTGTGAACTGTATTACTTACAAAATATTTAATAAAAAAAATTAAAAAATAAATAAATTCTGCTGAACAGCCTGAAATTAGACAATCCACTTGGGCAACAAAGGGAATATCACCCCGCAAGCTGTCATATCCTGCTAAGAAACATAGCATAAACGAACCAACATCGTGGGAAGACATAGAAAAATTACCAAAACGTGAAGCTAATCAATGGAGAGAGGCAGCAGAAGAAGAAGTAAAATCCCTCAAGAAAATAAAACCTGGACACTCACAGAGCTTTCCCCCAATCACAGAACTATAGGAGGCAAATGGACTTTTAGGGTGAAGCTCGATGCAGAAGGAAATATCCACAAATACAAGGCCGGATTAGTGACCAAGGGATACTCCCATAAATGTGGAAAGGACTATGATGAAACATTCGCTCCTGTTGTAAAACACCACCATCAGAACACTCCTTAGGGCTTGTTCACACCAAATCCAGACCAGATCTGCATGAGTTTCTCCACATACAGTGCAGTATGCCGAGTTTTTGTTGCATTTTGGGCCTTTTGTAGCCTAAAATGGGCTTTCAGTGCGTTCCAGGGTGTTTGCATGCGTTTTTGATGCGTTTGCATGCATTCTGGTGCGTTCCAGAGCAGAACAAATAGGGCATGCTGCAGTTTTTCCACATGCTCTGGAACAGAATGCTGTGATGTGAACAAGAGCCCAAAATACCATTGGAATACATTGGCTGCCGTTTTGATGCATTCTGTAACTGCTCTGCTCTGCATCTGCTCCACACTTGGTGTGAACAAGCCCTTAGCATCGTAGCTGGGAAGGGCCTGCAAGAGAAACACATAGACGTTAAAACTGCTTTCCTATATGGAGACATTAAGGGAGATCTCTGCATGTAGCAACCACCATGGTTTGAACAAGGACACAACCTTGTGTGTAAACTCCACAAGAGCATATACGAACTCAAGGAATCTGCAAGAATGTGGAATGAAAAAGTGAATTAAATACTCACAAAAGAGGGATACACAAGAAGCAAAGCAGATCTCTGTCTTTATTCCAGGAATCAAGAAAACCGATGGATATACATCCTAATTTATGTTGATGACATTATAACTGGTTTTGAACAAGAAGGGGACTATATAGTAAAATAGTTCACAAACTAATACAGAACTTTGAACTCAAAGAGCTGGGAAACATCAGTCACTATCTGGGAATTCAAATAGAGAGGGAGGAATATGGAAGCTATCCTCTCAACCAAAGTCAGAAAATTGCTTAAATTTTGGAACAATTCCACATGCAAGTTGCAAAGGAAGTAAAAACACCTACGGAAGCAGGCTGCCAAAGGAGCAATGAAGCAGAAAACTTGCTACCCAACAATGACATGTACTGCTGAGCAATCGGAAAACTACCATACATTGCCACTGTGACAAGACCAGACATAGCGGCAGCAGTGGGCATACTCGCTAGAAAAGGCGCAGCACCGTGTCAGCGTGAATGGAACGCAGTAAAGAGGGTAATACACAACTTAAAAGGAACAATTCGGATGAAGCTACGACTGCCAGCAATGTCAAATCCAAAACTAGTTGGATTGGGTCAGAGACTGAACAGAACGCAAATCCACAGGTGGCTACATCTTCCAATATGGGGAAGGAACCATAAGGTGTCTGTGAGTAATGTCAAATATACAGTTATGCTCTTCAATCAATGAAGCCACCAAAAATAGTTGCATATTAGAGTGGCACATTAATGAATGTAATCTACCTATCACTCTAGATTATCTTGACAAATACAAAATACTAGACTTAAATGGGAATGTAAGCAGAAAAAAGTTGCCAAATTAGCCACAAGCGACTTAGAGTGAAATGTTTTCTTGCCAGTTAATCAAATCATCATGGGACATATGTAAATATCTAAAGATTAGGATTGTAACAAGGCAAAAAAAAAAATGCAAGTATGACCTTCAGTCATAGTAAGTGACCCTGTGAGCAAATAGGGGGATCTTGTTAGATACAAAAAGTATAAATAAAAGAATATCCAGCTGGTTTTTAATAGGATATGCTATGGCCAATTAAAATAAGCTAAAGTAGTATTTTATAATGCATTTTATTTTGGTGAGATCCTGTTATTTTCAAGCATCTTAACTTCATAAAGTACTTCTTCTTTTACAGTGCCTCTCTAGCATATATAACATGTACTGTATAACAGTGATGTGCCCTACCTTCTGAGCTAGGTGAGGCACCCCCCGTCCCGTCGAAGCTCCACCCCCTGACCTGCCAAAGCCCCACCCTCAGTCCAGACAAAGCCCAGCCCCCAGCTCAGTAACCAAGCTGTGTGGGGAGGAGGAAGGGAGGAGACAGGGAGGAGCCTCCCTGTCCCTCACTTGCTTGTCACTGCTGAGGCATCGAGATCTATGGCCTCAGTGGGGGTTTTTTAATTTTTTCTGATTGGACAGCTTGGAACAATGGTGCTTTGCCATGGGTCCAAGCCATCCACAGAGCTCACACCTCTAACATTGAGTAGAGGCTGTGACAGCTCTTGCCTCACTAGTTAGGATACACAAGCAGTAGGGAAGCCTGCTGCTGTGTAGCCTAACTACCTGTCAAAATCCGAATGCAGCGCTGCCTGTAATTAACAGGCAGCGCTCCATCCATGACAGGTTACACAGCGGGAAGGCTTTCCCTGCTGTGTAACCTGTAACAAGCTGCACTAAATGGAGAAAAAGCTGTCAGCTTTAGACTTGAAGCTGACAGCCTTTTCCTCCATAATACTAAGTGAGGCTCTGCCTCCTCTGACCGCACGCCCCTGCTGTATCAGCAGAATATGGTCACAGTGAATAATGCTTACCCTTTTGTCCATGCCCCTAACCCACTTTTATCTCCCTCAGCGCAATGTGGACCCCAGTTTTTCCACAATGTTGTCAACTTTGTGTTTGTGGGTCCTAACTCTAAATTTCCAGACTGTTTATTCGAGGCTTTACTGCCTTACTTTGCACAAATGTAAAATGAATACATACAGTATCTTGATCTTGACTCTTGCTCACCAGCCCAGTGACTGTGGCCAAAATGTTTTAAAGGCTTAGAAAGTCCCTGTGACCCTGCCAATTTTCTGAAGCCTCTTGTGGCCTCTACTTGAATTTTTTTAATATTTTACTGTGCTAGTTCTTCGAATTTACGCTCTTTACATATCTGCCTTTGGTTGTTTTGAGTTATTTGTGAATACAGATTTAGTTTTCCTTCGTATACTGTGAAGGCTTAGTTACAATCTGATCAAGGCATTTATTGCTTTGAAAAAAATAGCTTAGGCTATACATCATCAGACCAAGCTGGACTATGTTGTAAATATAGCATTTTTATTGTTTTCTACATTTAGGATGCCCAGCTTTTTAAGTTACAATGTACTCCCAATATATCCCCTCTGGTCAGTATCTGGGACCACCTGTGTTGGAAAGTGGTTTGCTAATGTTTGTGGGTCCTTCAAGACAGCTGTGGTATTAAATTTACATGAATTATATTTTATAACAAATTCAGGGATTATTTGCCTTTCTAGATGTCTTCCATACAACTTATCCCTACAAAACATAATACAAGAGTATTACCAGCTGCCGAAAGCACACAGCATAGTGATATACATAGACTATTAAAAGCCATCAGACTGATAAAATGACAAATACATCCTAATGAATGGTCCAAATGTAATTTTATCAGTGGATTTATAAATACATTATTGGGTGTACTCTGTGTAGTAAGGCCAAATTCTGAATGACTGATTTCTCTAAAAAATGCTTTTAATGTAAAGTAAAAATTCTTACCCAAAATACTGTTGCCACGATCTCCGTATCCTCCAAAGGTGAACACATGTGAGTGGTCAGCAGTTACAACCGTTAATGTATCAGTTTCAGATGTCATCTGTCCAGCTATCTTGATGGCTTTGTCAAATTCAACAGCCTCAGTCAATGAATTCTTGGCATTTGTATCATGGTGACCATGGTCAATTCTGCCACGTAAAGAATCAACTAATGTTAGGTTTTAGTTAAATGCATTTTATAGTGAGACTCATTAATTGTACTTTTAACTGACTATCACCTTCTCTGTTACAACCAAAATTCACTTATACAATAACAATGGATGTGTCCCAATTAATGGAAAGAGAACTGACTAACTGGTTCTTTTTCTTTAGTACTTTTTGTGGCTGTGTAAGTTACTTTTTTGCTAACAGTTATTTATTGCTTTTTTTCTGGCTCAGAAAATCACAACCATTTTCAGGAAGAAAGTTCAAGAAATTCTGAGTGTTAATTTACTGATATTTAATTAGATGCAATGTGTGCATTATAGCCATATACAGTAATCATTAAGTTAAACAGAGTGGTGGACATATAGCTTGTGCATCCCATGCCTGCAAGAACTGACACTCCCCAAGGTGTGAAGAATATCTGTCTCTCTTTCTGTCAGCCCTGTCATGTGACCTATCACATGACCCGAGAGACAAAAATAAGTTTGCATTCACTTCCTGCTGGGTGGCTGTTCTGACAAAAGATCGTAAATAGTAGGTACGGTTTTGTCTGTGAGCACGTCAGCCACAGAACCTTTAAACCCACCACGGAGCCCGCAACATCATACCTCCCAAGCTATAGAGCCCCCCTCCCCTCATCCTAAGAGCTTAGTAGCGCTGCTCCCAAACCCATTCACCTTTAGAGCTCTATATCATAGAGCAAGCCCTCCAACCCCAGGGGCCCCCAGAGCACCTAAGCCTCAGAATTCCTACTTCCCAACTCCCTAGCTTCAGATCCACAAGGACTTTCCCCTACCCATACTTTTCCTCTTACTGACCACTGCACCAGCCCATTTCTTCAACGGCCTAAAGTCTATATTATCTCCATGAGCATCACTTATTAGGGCAGCTCAGGATATCCTTAGTCACCACATATTTGGATAACAATTGAGCTATCCAGAGGGTGCTATATAATAGGCTACCTATAGATATTAGATGGTTATGACCCAATCTGGCCAATAACAAATAGATCAGGAATTTATTGAATGGATCAATAGATTGCTTCAGACATCCCTTGGTCAACTAATTTTAAGTTGATCAGTTAGTGTTCTTTGACTAAAATAAGAGGGGTATCAAGCAGTATCAGGATTCACTGCCAAAGTCATAATATTGCATGCTCAGCTAAAGTTATTATTTGGTTTATGGAAGCTACCAACTTATGTGCATGGTTAAAAAATAATCTTAGCAGACTGATCTTAAGGTACTTAGGCTATCATTTTAATAGGATTTTTCAAAATTCTACTCAATGAACACACGGGTGTCTGTTGTATCCAGACATACACATTTGTAAGATATAAGCATGCACATTATTATCTACTAAAAGGTCCTTGGGGAATCACATTGTTTGCAAAGATCTGTCTTCTTAAATCTATAAATTAGCCTGTCATGTTATCCCAAGATTCCCCGGTTTTAACTTGTATACTTATCTTCTACAAAAAGGAAGAACCCATTGGAATTCTTTCTCAGAATCTTGATGGCCTTCTCAGTCATTTCAGCCAGGGATGGGTCCAAGGAATGATCTCGGTTCAATTCATACTTCATGTCTTTTGGCTCAAAAAGACCTAAAAATATTTACAGGTCGGATAATTTACCATTTTTTGGTTTGTTTCTTGAAAAATTTGAACTGACCTAGGCTAAAGTTACCAGATTTTCAAAATGAAACCCAGGAATGTCCTAATCACCATGCTCAACTTTAACTAAACCCCTATTTATAGCCACACCCAAGGTTTTTTTCACCTTGAAAATATGTTTTATGAATAAAGTGAGTGTTACCTAGTAAATGTTTTGCAGATTGTATTGCCAAATCCTTTAAAAATATACCACATTGTCTTGTCATAATTACACATGTCAAAGAAAACCCATGTTTATTTGTTTTCTTGTGATTTGTATTAGTATACATGACAAAAATACTCTACCCATAAGGTAATCGGTGTTAGCCTCATCTACAGCATTAAACTGGTCTTTGTTCCATACATATTGTGCCCGCTGTAAATAAAAATAAAAAGGGAATAAAACTAAAATTTGTGGTAAAAATTACATTTTCATAAATAACATTCTACTTACCTCAATAGGAGCAGTCTGAGGTCTTAACAGGGACAGACAAAGAGTTATGCTTACCAGTATCACATGCCCATTGAAATAAAGAAAATATCCATATCATATTGTTTATAAACAATACAAAGGTGCCAGGATTCCCCCACTGTTATGTCATATGTGTACTGTTACCTAAATGGAGCTGTTAGGCATGAACCTCCTTCACTGATAAAATTCCTAATAGTGCTATTACCCAAAACTGGTAAAGATACTGAACTGTGTGAGGCTTTTGGATGCATTTCCCATCTTAATGTGTGTGTTGTAAAGTAGCCACCGCTCCAAGCTAGCTGCTGATCTTGGAACGGTGGCTACTTTCAACACACACAGAGACCATGGGCAACAAAAGTAGTCACCCTCCAGAAGGAAGGACAGTGTCCGCACCAATTCAAACATGTTTTGAGGATCTAGAGTTGAGTGATAAACAAATAAGCTACATTTTTGTTAATAGTTAAGGTACTTGAATGCATTTTTAAGATATAACTCCTGAGTTTAGTGTCACTTTAAAAGCTGCCAAAGATATGGGAGGACTTGGGTTGCCAGAATTCTATCACTACATATGCAGAAATTCAAAGAGAATTTAAAAGGTAGTTATTAAATGCTTTAGATCATTTCTTTGTTTTCAGTAATAAAGAAGATCATCAAAAACTGCATTCAGATTATCCAGTTAGTATATCTGAAGTCACACATTGTAGGACACTTAAACCTAGCACTGGTGACAACACCAGGAAAATGGGAAGCTAGCACTGCAGTGATATTATAACAGTGGCTTCTCTAAATTCTTGATGTGTAGAACAATCTCTAGTTCCTTTATGTGAGTGCAAAAGAGAAACCAATGATTAAACAGTAGAGGGGATAAAAGAAGTACATTGCAGATCTATAATTATAAGAGAAACAACCATAAGTAGGAATAAAATCTGAAAGTATACAGGGCAATCAGGTTGAACTGTTAAAGCACCTGTCTTGTGCTCAGCCATATATCAGTTAAGTTCCGGCCATCCTTACGAACAGCTTGATTTGATGTACTGGTTGGATATTCTGGATCAGGTGTGCCCTTGGCACTCATGTAGGCTCTCCCACCTCCCAGAATCACCTGCAGGAAATACCAAGTATAAAGTAATAATAAATGTCTGAAGTAAATTTAAAAAATAATGATTTCACATTAGCCCTATCAACATTCTAGGATAGCATTCTTTCATATTTTTAAATAAAAAATATTCCTTGAGGGATCAAGGAATACTACTAAAAATGTCTAATTGTTATGTTGAAAAAGCATATCTAATCACAGTGTTTTACAAAACCCCATTTGCCCTCTGTAATTACATTTATATCCGTGTTGTACACCAGTTGGTGTGAAATATCCTTGCAGCTACTGTTAATCATATTGTCAGTCATCTCGTTGTCTGAGTACCAGTCCCTATCGACAATGTGAGCATAGGCTGCAGCTGGCGAGGCATGTTGGACACGAGTGGTTGTCACAATACCCACTGATTTACCTGAAAAAAAGAAGACCATAGGAAACAGGTAGAAAAAAGGAACCATAAGCATGTTGCAAGAAAGTGGTATCAAATTGTAGATGACAAGATGCTCAACTCATACAGTCCTAGGTAAAGTTTTCAGTCCAATTTGTGAGAAGTCTCTAAAAGATAACTAATGTGTGTGTTTCAGACTGGAATGTCTAGGTGTAGTGGCAGTCATTGGCAAAGTGCACAGATGCAGTGGTGGCCACTGGTGGAGTGCATGGTTGCAATGCTGGTCACTGTTACAGTGCGTTGATGATGTCAGTGGGAGAAATAATCTGCTATAAAGGGGTCTGAGATGTTCTGAAAGGGATTAACACATCTCTTCCATCTGGGTCTCAGGGGAGGTAGGTACTACAGTCAAAACATGCATCTGCCCGGGAGTGAAAGACAAACTTTTCCCTCTTAAAATTTAAGGGGATTAAGAAGAATGGCAGTCTGTCTTTACCCCTTGACAGGAGGTCTACTGGCATTGGCAACTATGTGCAGGTAGTTTAAGGGGGAGCAAACTGCTCCCAAGCTGCCTGTGCGGACATGAACTGGTGACATTTTTAAGTCAACAATGCTGTCCACCACTGTATTGCTTAGAATAATCCCTGGAATTCATAACAAGTGTTGTAGTCTCCCGTCCGAGCAACAAAAGGTGCAACTTGAAATAGATTCATATAACTGTTCATAAGGTGTATATGAATCTATTGCCTCAGACAGAATTTTGTCTGTGACACAATAATTATAATTTACTCCAATGGTGAGGAGATCTTATATACCTCCAATTTTCTTATCACAGATATGGGGTATTTCCAAGTTAATTTGTCCCAGCCCTAGCGACAGAATGTAAAAGTGTTGCACCTAAGAACTACCTGAAATTGTCACGCTCCTTGGAAGTAGCAAGAAAACTGTTGCACGGCTTTCATGAATTTGCCCCAGGACATTCTAAAAGAACCATGACTCCCAAAAAGTTTTGTAAATGTTTTAATGAATTTCCCCAATGTGTCCTTGGCAATATGGTGGCAGAACACATAGGAAGCTATTTACTAAGCTGACAAAGACAGCTGAATGAATAACTGAGCCAAAGCCTGCTCGGCCATTCACAGCAGCCCTGTATGGCTATTATTAGCTGTGCATGAGCTGCATTCGTCTCACTTCACTTTCCTTCGGTTCAACCGAACAGCCTCAGCACATTTGGCAGAACCGAGGGGAAGAACCCGTTCACCTCAGACATCTGGATCGACTGAAGTGAATGTTCAACAGTTCATTCCCTGCTGTTCACCCCTATTCTCATTGGGGCCAAATAGCAGAGAGTGAATAGCCGAATGCTGCCTACCAGCATTCAGCGTGGTCACTCTGTTTGCTACCTTATGTAATCATAAAAAAATAGCATCTTAATCCATACCAGACCCTTTAGGTCTGAAAGGAATTTAAAGGGAGACCCCAACTCCCAAAAATCAGAAAAAAATGTGGGGTCCCCCTAAAATTCCCAACCACACCCTTAATCCGACCACTGGCCTGGCAGAGCAGGAAAGGGGAGGGACGCGCGAGCCCCCCCATCCCTGCATCATACAAGGGCATTTTCCCATAGCCCTAGCCCGGTGGTTGTGAGGGTCTGCGTGCGGGGGGGGGGCTCATCTGCATCACCACGGGACTAGCACCGCCCATTTGTTTTCATGCTATGACAGCTCACTGACCTCAAATGGCATGAAAACAATGAGTGGTATGAGTCCTGTGACTTCATGGGACCAACTCCGCCCATTTGTTTACATTCGGGCAGGAGCTGTCAAATGGGTCATTTAGCGGCTGACGGGTGCACGGGCATCAAAACTTTTTTATTTCGGCGAGTTGGCGGGCATCGTTCATCGGGATTGACACTGAATTACATGAGTGACCATGGATTGCAGTGTTAGACGATTGTTTGTGGGTTTTTTTTACTAATAAAAAACTGTGTTTGTGTTTTTTGTTCAATTAAAGGATTTTTTAACAGTGTGGTGTGTTTATTTACTTTTGTGCTAACTGTTTGGTGAATGAGTAGGAGTAACAACTACCCCTTACTCATTCACAAGGAGGACGGAATCTGGGTGCCCCCTTTATGAAAGGGGGTACCCAGATGCAGATAAGCCCCCCTGCCCACAGACCCCCAGAACCACCAGGCCAGAGTTGTGGGGAGGAGGGTCTTGTCCTCATTGGCTATTGTGAACATCCTGTACAGCCAGTGGTGTATTTTGGTTTTGTGCTACCCTAGGTAAGACTAAACACGGACACACCCCCCCCCCCCATGTAAATTTGCCCCACCCCTTCCTATTAAAGACATTTTGCGTAACCTGTCAATCGCTGTATCCAGCTTCTGACAGATTGCGCAATTAGCATACTGGGGAAGCCCACTGCCCACTTTGCTTATCCTGTCTGAAGCTGGATGCAGCTAGCGCCTGTTTAAATAGTAACCGATGTACGCTGTATCACTTCTGCCAATGTCAGAGAGGAGGCAGAGGTTGTCGGTCGATTAAGGCAAAGGCAAGGATAATTTTTTTTCCTCTTACTGGCAGGTGAGGCTCTA